ACCGGTGGATGACCTACATTCTACACTACCCGCCCACATCCCATACACTTTTCTGCACAGGTGATCCACCCTGGAGCTCCTTCACCCTTAGCCCTTTGCGGAGGTGTCCTTTCTCCCGGTCCAGGAACGTTCCCTTGGGTCATGGCAGGCGGAAATGTGAAAACGTTTCAGGGTTTCTCACCCATTACACCAATATTTATCAGAAGTCTACTTTAAATGAGTCGATTACGTGTCGTGAGCCCTCTAATCCTTATCTTGAGTATTGGAGAAAAAATGGAGTGGCCCCCCCGAACTGGAGTTTCACCCATTTTAAAGACTGCAGCTCTGATATGTACGTCCCCTTCTGACCAGCTTTTTAGATATCGCTGTAAGGCTGGCCTACTTTTCCTCGAGGGCCTGCTGAGCGCGAACCCTTCGCCCTGTTCCTGTGAAAATTTCTTTTGAAGTCTTCGGTGTAGAAGGCTGTCGTGAAGTGTTTTGATAGATTGGAATGTGCTCATCAATTTTCAGCAGGGTGCGTTTGGTTCGATTCTAGCAGTCTGTATGTGATTCCGTTTTGAAGTGGAGGGAGCGTGAACTTTTTATGCCCCACCCCTGTACATTCCAATATTTGGAATTTATGGATTAACAACAAGCGGAAAAACAAAATTTTCAACTAAACTAGATTCCAAAGAAGCTTAGGAATAGGATGTAGGCTTTCACTTTGAGTCCGAAGGAATGGCGTATAAATTCGAACGTTCTGTACACTTTTGGCCCCTCTTTTTTCTCATAGCTATCTATGAACATTTTTCATTTTTGCGACAATTTTTAGTCGCATTACAAATTTTCAGTTCTCAACTCGAGTGGGGGGGGAGGCATCCAGTTCCGTGGGCTCGTGTGCGAACCCTACTAATAAACGGTTGATGGAAAATTCGAAATGTTCGAAATTGAACCCAGGCTTGTCTTCACATTCATTTGGCCGTCGAAGGTAGTTAAACAAATCATGGATTTAAGATTTTCTTCGTACCTCGTAGCGGCGACAACTATAATAAAAGGCCTTTCATTAGGTCCGCGAAAATCGGATACATTTCAGTCAAAGTTCAATGACATCAGTTGACCATGACACACTCCGATTCCCTTGTTCCGATAGAACGTGTGTTTCGGAAATAGCCCATAAAAATTAGTTGCATTCTGCATGAAACGAATGGATGGGATCCTAATTTTACTACGCCATCTTCCAGGTTAGAGCAGAAACCGAGTGCGGTCCCCTTTCTTACAGATTAGCATATAGTAAAACAACAGCTGATCAACAAACGTTGATGCGAAAAAAAAGCCTGCAAATGTAAGAATGAAAGAAACTTGTTTTTTCTGAAGGCATCACCTCAAGCGGTGCACGTGGTGGCTCCTTTTCCGTTCAACACCATCGCGCATTCTTGCGATTGAAGCCATTTCTTAGCTTTTTCCACTTTTTCCAAGATCCCGAAATATATGAGTAGGCTAGTTAGTTATTCGATAAGAATCGATAAGAGTACTGAATGTTAAAATTCGACTCCTTTCTCAATCACTTGACCACAATAAGTTTGTAGGTGGATCCAGCCGACTTGTATGTGTCGCCACATGGCATGTGAAGATTGGGACGGCAAAGCAGGGTCAACCGTCCATTGGACAAAGTCCAACGAGGCGGTGGGGGGAGGGGTCGTATTTGGGGGTGGAAAAGAGTGGGGTCGTATTTTGCGAGGTAGCGTTAATGTTAAAGTAAGGGAAGGGATGGTTTTCAATGGAGCGGAAAGCGGATCGGGTTGTTGGCTGGGATGTTGAGTGCGAAAATTTTGCCGTTTTTGTTTTCGATATATCGCCACCCCTCGCAATTCTGGAGGAAAAAGTGGCCGCATTGGACTGTTCGACTGGTGTCAGAATGAAAGTGGCTATATGAAATCCCCCGCCGCCAAACCCCATGATGGCGATAGCAGACGAGGGTGGTGGAGGATGGTCGTGAGGGGTTAACCCTGAGGGGGGTCTTATCGAGGCTCCTCTAGAAGGGGGGGGGGGGGTCGTAAAATTTTCGAAATTGGTCCAACGTGACGGTTGACCCTGGGGCAAAGCCGTGAGTTGATTAACCGCATTTAGCGCCCTGTGATGGCAGAAAAATACCTTGGTTCTTCTCACACATGTCGGAAGATTTGGTCATAAAGACTGGAGAGCATGTGAAGAAGGATGATCGAAAGGAGTGGAAAAAGAGAAGGAGAAATAAAATTTGGGATGGGCCAGGGAGCGGTACGAGTGTAGAGTGAGATGCATGGAGGAACAGTAAGCAGACTAGCATACATGGGGGGGAACAAAGATTTTAAATCCGCAGCATTGCTTTTGTGCTTCGGAACTTGATCCAAAACACCCAATACACGGAACCCCGAAATTCAAGGAAATTCCTTTCATTATATGGTGCCTTGCACCATAGACAAGTAGCTTAGCGATAAATATTCGAAGGGATTGTTCCTAAATTACCGAGGCAATGCATTGAGCATTTGGAATACTTGGAGTCTCATGGTGCTGCTGCAGATTCCGATCAATTGAGCCCTCAGCATTGCGTCATATGTAGACCAGACAAAATAAAGAACTTTTATTACTTGATGAGGTATGAACAAAAATAAAGCGATGAAAATCCTGTAAGCATTCTGGCAAAATATCTCTGTTCTCTGTTATCCGCGTGTAGCACATCCTCGTCCATTGCATGTAAGGAAAAATCCCACACTCGGTGTTCCGATGTAAGAGTTACCATATTGATCAACGTTGTATCCACCACCTCCGAAGAGTCTTCCTAATGGTGAAGGAGCTCGATAGTTACTGTACTGCTGATAGTAACCTGGGTATCCATAAGGACTGGAGTAGTACGACGGTCGGGAATAGCCGTACTGAAGTCAAGTAGGAGCCGTACTGCGAGGAGCACTGCAGCAAGGAGGCGGCGCGAGGTTGCAATACAGTCAGTGACCATTGTTTTATTGGTGATAGTTGACGGTGGTCAAGCATATATAGTTGCAGAACAGGAGCTGTTCAAGCGGTAATTTGATGGGGTCGAGGGGTTGTTAAGCCGCGCGGATCTGTTGCTTCTCCGTTCAGCACCTAGTTTGCTTTCGTCACTTCTCTCTCTTGCGCATTTCAATCAAAATATATTATCGTTTCTCCAATCACGTTGGCTCTCGCTTTTTATGTTCCTCTCTTTTATTTTATGCCATATATACCTTTTCTTACCATAATCGCGTTTAACGATCAGGCAGGTAAACTCGGGCAGGTGACGAGCAGGGTCAACCGTCACGTTCGAACATTTTCGGGATTTTTGCGACCCCCCCCCCTCGAGAGGGTCCAGTTGCGACCCCCCAATACAACCAGCCTTCCCCACCGCGACCTCTCCCTCTTCTATAGTATTTGATTCTGAGACCAGTTGACACAGCCCAAAACCTACCTAAAACTCCGAAACTCCGCACCCACTTTTCCCCAAAAATAGCCGTCGAGCGGGGGGGGGGGACGGCAACTTTTTTCGCACGCACCTATGCCCTGCGCCCCTGATCACCAAAGCGCGCAATGCGACCAATGCGACCCCTCTCCTCCCCCAGAACACACAAATGCGACCCCCGTTCGAACAGTTCGAACGGACGGTTGACCCTGCGTCGAGAGTTAGCGCTTACTGCAATTGAGTGTTATCGCCATAAACTATGAACTGTCATTTGAAGCGATCGATTGCGATCGGACTAATGTTGGTTGAAAACCTTGTACCTCTAGACAAATAGCTCCGAGGAAATTAGCACGGGGACCATAAAGAAACTCGCTCCTAGCGCACTTAACGGATACTGGTTCTTAATTTACCAGTCGATCCTTGTCTAGGTCGTTTTATGACCAACTTCGCCCATGATTAGTGTTCGTTTACGCTAAACAGGTTTTAGGTGGTTACGAGACATGGAGAAGCTAGTTTTGTGTGATCTTAACTTCGGAGACCTCAAGTTCAGGACCTGAGCATAACCGATTAAAGTCTGCTTAACTTCGTGGTCCCACTTAACTGTGTCAAAGCTAGTGAAGGTGCTAACTAGTGCCTAACAAGAAACGGCTCTGGCGGCCCATAACAACCTGCTGTGCACCACACTGTTTTCCACGTACATGTTCCGTCTGCCTGGTGGGATTGCAAAAGGCTGCGTTTAACACGTTGACGACGATGTCGGTCAATGGTGACCGACAGGCAGTCTGTCCTGTGGGACGACGTCGGTCAATGCTGTCCGACAGCTGTGTAAGTTAATAAAGGAAAAGGAAACCCGAATTTTTTCATGAAATTAATTAGTACTTCCGTGTCTTCACCCAAAATATGTGGCAGTGACCTAAGATTTTCCCAACTGCTGGGAA